GAGCTGGACCCCAAGGTTGAGGGGCTTTCACCCAGCCCCTAGAGCCTGGCACTTTGAACTTGGACTTAAAGCCTCCAAATTGTAAGAATAAATTCCTGTTTGTTAAGGCCATCCCATTTCTGGTATTTTCTTGTCAGAGTGGCACTAGGTAACCAGAACAGAATTTGGTACTGGGAGCGGGGTCCTTCCTCAAAGGGACCTGGCCTCCCCTTCATTCAAGGAGTTGTGGGTCTGTAAACTGACTCAAGTCTGGGAATTGATTGAGAGGTCATGCCTCTGTATTCTGGTGATTCAATCTAGATTGCTGTTCACGTGATCTAGAATTCTTCTGTCTATACAGATCAAGTAAATATTTAGTAGGCTTGCCATGTATTTCACTACTAGGAACACCATGAGCAAGTAGCCAATGCCATAATTCCACATGAGTCAGACTATTCTGAGTACTGTTCTGACTCTGCTGTCCATTATGGTAACTACGCCCACCTTGCATTTGTCGATTTGGCCCCTACTACCAAGGGGTCCAATCAGCCCCATCGTAGTTAAGTGTCTTAGTTCAATTAGGGCAGTTCCCACTGTCAAATCAGGTTTACATGAAATAGCAATCACAGCAGTCTCCAAGGATGCTGGAGCTCCCTTCACAAATTTATTCCTCACGGTACTGGTGAAAGGCATGTCTTCTGGACTCTCCATTTCTGGCTCTAGGGATCTAATCTGATAAACCCATTCTAACAGGCCAATTTCCCTAAGCCTCTGGATACCTTCTTCTACATTATATCAAGGCAGGTCTGTACTTCAACTTGACTTAAGGTAGGCCACTGCATAATCCATGCCTCAGTAAACCAACCAAATTAACTATTAGATCCTTTCTTAACCTCTTGAGATGAAACACTGAATGAAGAATCCGTACTTAGTGGGCCTAAATCAATAAACTCAGACTGATCCAATCTTACATTCCTTGCAGCATTATCCCACACCCTCAGCAGCCATTCCCATACATATTCTCCAGCTTTCTGTCTGTACATGTTGGCAAAATCAAGTAGTTCTTTTTGGGTGTAGAGTACCACCTCCAAAGGCCATGGCCCTACCCTTTCAGGCTGAGGCAGCTCTGCTTCCATTTCCTTGGTCTCTCTGCTTCTGCCAATCAATGCCGAAGGCAACCCACTCTGCAGGAAATCTTCCTGTCCAAAAAGCACTCAGCTTTTTTGCTCCATGGGCCGGCCAACCTGCTACTCCATTTCATGCTGATCTTTTCTACCAATTAATGCCCAAAGGCAACCCACTCCGCCAGTAAGCCGTCTACCTAATGGCACCCGGCTTTCTCCTCCGTGGGCTGGTAAGGCTGTCGCTGTCTCATGCCGGTTCTCTCGGCTCTGCTCCTGCCGTCTCTCATGCTGGTCTCTGGGCTCTGCTCCTGCCATCTCTCATGCTGGTCTCTTGCCGTCTGTCCTGCAATCTGTCATGCCGTATGCCGGGTTCTCTCTGCCAGGGTCTCAGGTCAAGGACGCACTCCACTCCTGTTTCCACATTGTAGGTATCTGTCAGAGCAGCACCCCACTCTCTTGGTACCAAATTCTGTTCTGGTTACCTAGTGTCTCTCTGACAAGAAAATACCAGAAATGGGATGGCCTGAACAAACAGGAGTTTATTCTTACAATTTGGAGACTTTAAGTCCAAATTCAAAGTGCCAGGTTCTAGGGGCTGGGTGAAAGCCCCTTAACCTTGGGGTCCAGCTCTGCCTCCTGCTCCCGGCCTGCTGAAGCTGGAGGCATTTCTTCACTCAGACAACTGCTGGCTGCTGAGGCTGAGAAGCCCCAAAGTTGACAAGTAAAAAGGCACAGTCCCGATGTTACCAATACTTTGTACTTCAGGACAGATCTTGAAACATCCTTTGTGATGATGAATACCACACCATTCCTCTTCCAATTGTCATTCTCAGCACAGAAGTTGTCTGATTCAAAATGGCCAAAACCCATCCATTTCAGCTCACTAATGCCTAGGATATCAATCTTTATGGGTTCCATTTCATTTTTGACAGCTTCCAATTTTCCTAGATTCATACTTCGTACATTCCACATTCTAATTATTAATGGATGTTTGCAGTTGTTTCTCCTCAAGTTAATTGAGTCATGCCATGTCAGCAAATGGAGTCTCAAAAGCTTTACTTTACCTGTATCAGTAAGGTTGGTCCTACTCTGATGATGCAGCTCTTTTTTAGTTGTATTTTGAAAGCCTTCTGACCTAAGGGCTTGTACTCCTGCACTATATTAGATAATGTTTCCGGGCTATTCATAAAGTTGCACAGTAACATATCAGACAGTGTTTCTCTGCTATTCATAAGGTTTTCCATGGCCAATTCTTTGAGAAATGGATGGCCTCTTCTTTCTTCCTACTCTGTCTCAGTCTGTAAGCTGCACTGAAATCTGTGCACCATGTGCAACCCTGCCAGCAGCACTTGAAACACCAGTGCCACAGTCTCAAGCCTCATAGCAATATGCAAGCCACAAAAGTATGACAAAATGACAGACAAGTTTGTTTCCCTTAGCTGTTCAAAACCTCTCTGCCCTCCCCTCACCTGGATCCCTGGTGCTGCTCTGCTCTGTCATCCCCCTGGCTTTTCTTTTCCCTGCTTACCTGCCTGGTGGGGATAGGGCCTGGATCCCTTCCCTTGATTCCTGGCTGCTGCTCTGCTCTGTTGTCCCCTCTGGCAAGCCATTTTCCCCTGCTTTGCTGCCTGGTGAGGACTGGGCTTGGGGCCCTCCCTTACCTGGATCCCTGGCTGCTGCTCTGCTCTGTCATCCCCTCTGGCTTCTCTAACAGAAGTAGTTCCTTTACTTTATGAAGAAGGAATGACAGAATTCAAATTTCCTATTTTGTAACCATAATGAACTTACAGATCTAGGTCAGGGGTCAGTAAACTACAGCCAGCAGGCCACTACTTGTTTTTGTAAATAGTTTTATTGGAACACGGTTATTCCTTTTTATTTATATATTGTTTACAGCTGTTTTCATGTTACAAAGACAAAGATGAATAATTTTAACAAAGTATGTATGACTTACAATCCCAAAACAGTTACTGTCTCACTCTTTAAAAAATTTATTGACCTTGATCTAGACAATGAGCTAGATCATTGGGCTGCTACATGATAGAGACAACTAGACCACATAGGCTTCCTCTCAGAATATCACCACATAAGAATACTCTTAGGAAAAACTGAACCTGAACCTGATCAGGCTGCTGGACTGAGCTAACAATTTCTAGAAAATAAAGGATAGAGGAACATGTTAAATGATAAATGATACTACAGAGATACAATCTATAAAATATAATTATAAAAAAATTACAAATGACTTAGTTTTCAGAAAATAAATTTCAAGAAAAAAAATGAGAGGGAGGGAAAATAGACTGAAAGAAACTTAAGGGACATAATTGCAATATGAATCTTATCTGGATCCTAATTTAAAGAAACTGCAAGAGAGAGGAAAAAGCAGACACACAGATAATCAAGAAAAGTAAAACACTGATATTTATTGACATTAAGGAATTATTATTAGTTTATTTACATGTGATAATAGTATTGTGGTTATTTAAAATTTTTTTCTCATCTTTCAGAGGTACATACTAAGATATTTAATAATAAAATGATAGTATGTTTGAGCAAATGATCAAGAGGGGAATGGGAAGTGTGCACAGGTACAGATAAAACAAGAATGATTGTGTGGATAATTACCAAGGATCAAGGACACATTGATATTTACTGTTTTATTCTCTCTACTTTTATGTATGTTTGAAAATTTGCACTATAAGCAATTTTTTAAAATGGGGGTAAATGTTAATCAATTACCTGGGGGGAAGAGGCTCTTTCAATTGATACATGCCCTCTAACCCTCAATTAATCCAACAAAGCTTCCTGAAGGGAACATAGCCCATGCCCAGTAACTTATCTTCTTTTAGTCTCCATTGAGACTCACTCTAATACTGATTGACAGTAACTGATGGGATGGGTATACTGAGGTATACTGATCAGAAAAAAAAGTGAATCTAATGTGGAGGAAAAAACTCTAGTGGGATTACTAGTTTAAGTAAAATAAAGCCATTTCCTTATAAAGAATAAACTCAAAGTGAGAAAATCCCAAGGGACCAATGAGAATTTAGAGGAAAAGAGACAAAGGACCCTTAACAAGATTTCTGATAATGTGAGATTTTTTCTCACCTTTTCTCATCATCATAAGATTTGGTGTAAACTTTTATGTTTGTTTATTTTGAGCTGGGTTAAATAGCAAAACCACCTTACATTTTCTCACTAAGAGTAAATGGAAACTGGCAAAGATGAAGGGGGTGGTTTGTTGTTAGAAAAAGAAACCATTTAAAAGAAGCTTGGATTTCATAAACTAATGTGGAGATGGAGATGTCTAGATTTTATAACTCATTCATTAAGACAAGTCCAATTTTTGGATTATTTGAAAAAGAAGGGATAGGCAGAGGGCCCTCTTGGCTTTACCATAATGGGATGTACAGTGTTTGTAAGCTAACTAATTGGCTAGGGAGGATCAGGGTCCAATTACTCACCCAAAGGAGGCTGCAGCATACCCCCATTCTTCTCACAGTTCCCAATAGGCTGGATTTCAGCTGAGTCAACCAGTCGCCAAAAGTCATTCTTGTTGTCACTTCCATCAAGGCGCAGGCGAAGGCGGGCACCTGTCAGTCCAACCACTGTGGCAATGCAGGTGGATGTGGTGTTCCTGGGGTCCTGTGCTTCCAATTTCATGCTTATCTTGAATTCGTTGCTTGGAGGTGTGTAGGACTGAGGAGAACAACCCATAGGGATTAGGTTGACTGAGAGTAAACCTCATTTTCAGTAAGAATGTTAAGAGATGGAACCAGAAAAGTTATGCTTTTTTTGGTCAGACCTGGGCCTACTATCCCTCAATATTATACTTAGGAAGGGTTTCATGCAAAAGGAACACAGGGAAAAACAATTAACTTTTTCAATAAAGCATCAAATTTACCTCATATCAGCAAGAAAAGGACAAGACTATTTCACAGGGTTGTTACTTAAATGGTTTCTCAATCTATCTTTTCTCCAACTCCCTATTCCTCCAGGCATTCATAACTTTTTCTTTTCAGAATAGGAAGCTTTTCAGTATATTAATCTATACATCCACCACGCAGACCGACTACTGGAATTGTTTTTTTCTTATTTTGAAGTTAATTCATAAATCATATTTTTTAACCCCTTTGAGTTATAATATAATAGATATACAATAAACTTTATACTTTGGTTAAGTCTTGATATATTTATACACCCATGACACTGTCACCCATGACACTATCAAATCATCACCACAATCAAAATAATGAACATGTTCATCACTTTTTAGTTCTTTCACGTCCCTTTGTCATCCCTCCCAGAGCACTATCCATGGGCAACCACTATCTACTTTCTGATACTGCACACTGATTTGCATTTTTTAGTCTTGGATAGAATCTATATTATGTACTCATTTTTGGATAGATTCTTCCACTCAGAGTAATTATTCTAAGATTCATCCATGTTGTTGAGCACATCAATAATTCATTCATTTTTATTGCTGAGTAGTAAACCACGTTGATAGACATTTGGTTTATTTCCTGTTTTTTGGTATTAGAAGTAAAGCTACTATGCACAGTCATATACAAATCTTATATGGAAATATGCTTTCTTTTCTCTTGAGTAGATATCTAGATGTGGAATGGCTAGATTATATGGTAGGTATGTTTAATGCAAATATTTTAACATTCAACCTTCTAAAATGTATAATTCAGTGGGTTTTAGTATATTCACATTTTCATTACTCCTAAAAGATACCTCATGCCCATTAGCAGTCACTCCTCACTCAGACCAGCCTCAGACACCCATTAATCTATTTTCTATTTCTACATATTTGCCTATTCCAAACATTTCATATAAACAGAAACATATAATATATGGCCAATATTTGAATGACTTCTTTCTTTTAACATAATGTTTTTTTTTTTTACAGTCTATCCAAGGAGCTCTGTGGTATAGGGGATAAAGCATTTGGCTGCTAACCGGAACATCAGTGGTTCAAACCCATCAGCTGCTCAGCAGAAGGAAGATGGGCAATCTACATTCTTTATATATTCTAGGCACATGTTCCTTATCAGATATATAACTTGCAAATATTTTCTCCCATTGTATAGGTTCTCTTGTTAATTTTCTTGATGGTGTTCTTTGAAGCACAAAAGTTTCTGATTTTGATGAAGTCCATTTTCTTTTGTCACTTGTGCTTCTGGTGTCATATCTAATACACTACTGCCTAATCTAAGGTCAGGAAGATTTACTCCTATGTTTTCTTCTATGAGTTTTATAGTTTTAGCTCTTAAAGTTAGGTCTAGGATTCACTGGGAGTTAATTTTTAAATATGGTATGGGCATAGGCTCCTTCTTGAGTTTCTTGCATGTGGACATCCAGTTGTCCCTACATCAGTTGTTGAAAATTCCATTGAACTGTCTCAGCACCTTTACTGAACATCAATTGACCATAAATGTATGGTTTTATTGCTGGACTCTAAATTCTATCCCACTGGTCTATATAACTATCCCTATGCCAGTAACACAAGGTACCATAATAGCTTTATGGTGAGTTTTTAAACTGGAAAATGTGAGTTCACCAACTCTGTTCTTTTCAAGATTGTTTGGCCTATTCTGGTTCCCTTACATTTCTAAAATGAATTTTTGAATCAACTTGCCAATTTCTACAAAAAAGGCAGCTAGGTTTTAAATAGGGATTGTGATGAATTTACAGATCAATTCGGGGATTACTGCCATCAGATACTTGTGATTTGCCAGTATTCTTGCCCAGTCTGTGGCTTGTATTTTCCTTTTCTTACCAGTGTCTTCACGAAAAAGAGGAAGACCTTACCAAGAAAAATTGACAAAGTAGCTGTGATGATGGGCTCACACAGGGCAGCAACTGGGAGGATGGCACAGGACTGGGCAATACTGCATTCTGTTTGCACACAGGGTTCATACGAGTCAGAACTGATTCAATGGTACCTAACAACAACAACAAGCAGTGTCTTCTGAAGAGCAGAAGCTCTTAATTTTGACAAAGTTCACTGTAGCGATTTTTTAAAAAAATCAATCATACTTTGGGTCAGGTATTTTCTAAAGTTTTAAGTTTTACATGTTTGTTAGTTTATTCCTAAAGAGTAAATTTTTTGCTGTTGCAAATAAGAGTTTCACTTCCATTGTATTTTCTAATTGGTCACTTTTAACTAGTGAGTAAAATGTTGGCTTTAGCAACACGGTATAATTTTTTTTTTTTTTTTCAAATCAAGGCTGTATTACTCAATTTCTAGTTTACTGAATATAATTTTTGCTACCAAATTATCTTCTAAAGTAATTGAAACACTTTACCTTTTCACCAGTAGTGTATGAAAGTTCTATTTTCTCTGTATCCTTGCCACCATTTGACATGGTGGGTCTTTTTAATCTGAGCCATTTAAATAAATGTTTAGTGCTATGTCATTGTGGTTTTCTGTTTTCCTGATGAATAATAACGTTAAACATCTACTCATGTACTTGTCATCATATATTTTCTTTGGTGAATTATTTGTTCTCATCTTTCAATCTGGATTCCTTTTCTTAGTTTCTCTGGCTTAAATATATTGATAGTACAATGTTGAATAGAAGTGGAAAGAGTAAACATGCTTATCTTGTTACTGATCTTAGGGGGAAAAACATTTAGTCTTTCCCCATTAAGAATGATTTTTCGTAGATACCCTATATCAGATATATCACTCTTCCTTCTACTTCTAGTTTACTAAAAGTTATTATCAAGAATGAACACTGGATTATGTCAAATGCTTTTTTCTGCATCTACTGAGATCATCGTTTTTTATACTTTAGTTAGTTCATATGATGAATTACACTGATTGATTTTTGAATGTTAAACCAACTCTGCATTCCTGGAATTAGCCCCACGTGGTCAAGATAAATTACTATTTTTAAATATTGTTGGATTTGAATTCCTAAAATTTTGTTTACAATTTTCACACGCATTTTCACGTAGGATACTGTTTGTAGTTGTCTTTTCTTTCAATATCCCTGACAGGTTTTAGTATTCAAGAAATGTTTGCCTCATAGAATGAGTTGGGAGTTCTGTCTCTTATATTTTCTGAAAGTCTGTGGAGAATCTGTACATTTTTCTTTTAATGTTTGGAAATATTTACCAGTGAAGTCATCTGGGCCTGGAATTTTTTATGGGAAAGGTTTTAACTACAAATTCAATTTCTTAATAGTAACAGTGCTATTCTGATTCTCTATTTTCTTTGAGAGAGCTTTGGTAATTTATGTCATGCTTAGAAATTAACCACTTCATCAAATTTGTCAAATTTAAAGGCATACATTTGTTCATAACTGTGGTAGGCTATGTTTGTGTGTCAACTTGGCTAGGCCTGATTAAGTAGCTGGGCAGCTGGTGGTAGTTATTCCCCATGATGAGACTGATAATCAACTCCATGGTGGGATCTACCACCAGCAGCTGAGTAGCTGCCTTTGGGATGTGGTCTGCTTCCTGTATATAAGGAGAAGCCTTGGGAATGGTCTCTAGCTTATGGCATGCTTGGACCCTGCATGAGCTGTGTCATTGTTCAGCAGCCTGCCATGCTCTGCCGACCTGGGGACTTACAATGGTCTTGAATTAATGGCCTGCCATGTGGTTTGGTAACATCAGGACTGTGCCATTTTATTTGTTGACTTCAGGCTTGTTAGCCTCAGCAGCCACTAGCTGCCTGAGTAAAGTGATGCCTCTAGCTTCAGTGGGCTGGGAGCAAGAAGCAGAGCTGAAGCCCAAGGCTGAGGGGCTTTCACACAGCCCCTAGAGGCTGGCACTTTGAACTTGGACTTAAAGCTCCAAATTGTGAGAGAATAAACTCCTGTTTGTTAAGGCCATTCCATTTGTGGTATATTCTTGTCAGAGCAGCACTAGGTAACCAGAACAATGTTGCTGTTGTTGTTGTGTGCCGTCAAGTCGGCCCCGACTCATAGCGACCCCTCTTTGGGTTTCCGAGGCAGCATCACTACAGAAGTAGGATTGCCCAACCTTCCTTCCAAGGAGTGGCTGGTGGGTTTGAACTGCCAGCCTTCTGGTTAGCAGTCAAGTGCTTTAGCCACTATGCTACCAGAGCTCCTATCAGAACAATAACAATCCTTTATTCCCTCTTAATATCAGGAACGGGATAGTCATTCCTGATATTGGTAATTTATGTCTTCTCTCTTTTACTCCTAGTCAGTCCAGCTAGAGGTTTATCACTTTTATTGATCTTGACAAAAAAACTAGTTTCAATGATATTCTCTACAATTTTGTTTTGTTTGTTATATTTCATTAATTTCTGCTCTGATCTATGTCCTTTTCTCTGCTTCCTTTGAATTTAACTTGCTCTTTCCTCCTATTAAGGTGGAAACTGAAGTCATTGACTTGGGACCTTTCTTTCTTTTCTAACATCTGCTTAATGTGATAAATCCCTCCTAAGTACTGCTTTAGCAGGATCCCACAAATTCCCCTAAGTTTTGCTTTTATTTTCATTCAGATCAAAGTACTTTCTAATATCTCTTTTGATTTCTAATGCCCATGGGCTATTTAGAAATGTGCCAGTTAAATTTCTAAATATTTAGAGATTTTCCAGATAACTTTCAGTTATTGATTTCTAATTTAATTCTATTGTAATCAGAGAACATACTTTGTATTACTTGAATTCTTTTAAATTTATCAAGTCTCGTTTTATGGTCCAGAATATG